TGCCCACTACCAGCAGTTCGATCCTGACCATCTCAAGGTTGGCTCAGCCTTCCATCCTTGCGAGGTGAGCCAAACGAGGACCCAGATTGTTGGGGGCAAGAGGCTGACTCTATAAACCGCTTAGAGAGGGCTGTAAAGCACTGTGAAGCGGTATATAAGTCTAAGTGCTATTGCTAAAAAAGGGACTTGTGACAGGTCCTTGTGCTTGTGACCGTGGCCGTTTCCGGCTTCCAGAGGGGCTCCGGGGTGGGGGGGAGACTGTTTTTGCCCTCCGCAGGCTCCAAGAAATCCCCTGGAGCCTAGGGAGGGCAAAAAATAGACTTACTGGGCTCACCATGCCATCACATGTGAAAAGCAGGGTGGGGGAGGTCGTGCGTGCATGAGTGGGGGGCAGGGCACATTGAATTACAGGTGGGGGCACGCACGTACACGACCCCTCCACTTTTGGCACGCGACGGCAAAAAGATTAGCCATCACTGGCCTAGTATTTCCTCATGGTCTGCCATCCGGGTTGTACCCCGCTCCGTTCCCAGTGCTTTTCTGAAAATCATCCAGCGTGACCTCCAAGCCAGGGTACACCTCAAACTCAGAAACCTACCATGCCATTTCGGGGCTAGGGCCAGTTAGTTTGACCCAGACGCCTTCCCGATCTGAATTCCTGCACCCTGAAGTCAACAGCTCTGTTTTTTATTTAAATGCTAAGTGCATCATCTTTTTGGAGACCCTTGCTCAACAACATTGTCCTGACCAGATGCTCGGGGACGTTTGCAAAGTAAACAGGGAGAAACCGGCAGCTTTGGCTATCCCTGCACAGGGCTGGACCGGACTTTTGCGTTAGGAACTACGACAGCACCGAGTGATGTCAACGCATCCACCTCTCCCAGCGGGAAAGAACTGGAACACGGTTTCTCCAGTCCCTCCTCCCTCGACTAGCTTTATTGGATACCCAAAAGGTTAGCTCAATCTCCCCTCCACCCCACCCCACAGCCACTGGCTGCAGTCGTTATCCCCCCCCTGCCCCCCATCTCAAACCCTCCACCCTGCTCTTCCAGCTCGGGGTGACTCACCCAACCGAATCAAATGTTTGGAATGTGGCATTCCGAAGGATGATGGCTCATCCCTGGATTTTGGGTTGCAACGAAGGTCGCCCACCCGTTTGGCTCAGCCCCATCCCTCGGTCCAGGTTTTTTTTTTAAATGATTTATATTTCACATTTCACGTATACGATTCTGGGTGGCTTTGGGTAAAATAGATAAATAAACTACGTCCTAGGAAATCCAAAGCCGGAGCAGCCCAGCGTTATAAAATAACCAACCTGCAATCCAAGCAATCAAAGGAAGAATGGTTGTTGGCCTTAAAAGGGTTCCCTTCAAATTTCTTTGAATCTGGAACATATTCTGAGGAAGGGACCTCAGAGGTCTTCTAGTCCAACCCCCTGCCCAAGGCAAGGGAAGGTATACCTTCCCGGTTAAATGGTTGTCCAGTTTATTTTTGAAAACCCGCAATTCCGGGAGGCCAGGATCAGTGGTGAAATTCAAATTTTTTTACTACCGGTTCTGTGGGTGTGGTTTGGTAGGCGTGATGTGGCTTGGTGGGCATGGCTTGGTGGGCGTGGCAGGGGAAGGACACTGCAAAATCCCCATTCCCTCCCCACTCTGGGGACAGCCAAAGGTGGTATTTGCCGGTTCTCTGAACTACTCAAAAGTTCGGCTACCGGTTCTCCAGAACCTGTCAAAACCTGCTGGATTTCACCCCTGGCCAGGATCTAGCCAGGATGAAAGCCAGAGAAACTTGGTTTTGCTTTAGTAGATTGAGAACCGCTGTCTCAGTCAGGTGGGAGAAAACAGAACCAGCAGGCCTGCAATCAAAACTCTAAATATGCCCAGAAATTTCCAGAAAGAACCCAATTGATCAAAGAAGCAATAAGCCTCCAATTGCACCCCAATTGATCAAGCCTGTCAAAAGTATTGCATTATTTTCTTGCATGCACCTGGAATTATTTTCTTGCATTATTTTCCTGCATGCACCTGGGATTATTTTCTTGCATTATTTTCTTGCATGCACCTGGAATTATATTTTCTTGCATTATTTTCCTGCATGCACCTGGAATTATTTTCTTGCATTATTTTCTTGCATGCATCTGGAATCAGATACCAGGACTGGATGTAAACTTTGCATAATGACCTGTTTGCTAGCTCTCTTCTCTTTAACATGGTTCTTGCAATTAACCATAACCCCGGAATGTCCCTTAACTTCAGCCTGGCATGAAAAATGCCCTATGCCAGGTGTACCAGCCTCTCCCCACCCCCCTCCGCCCCAGCCAGATCGTTGTGTGAAGTTCATGGACATAGTAACCAAGAAGTAGCCCTCCTCTTTGCTTGCCCTCAACACTTGCTCCTCAGACATACCCTATCTGCCTTCATCAGAGGGTTGGACTAGAGGATCTCTGAGGTCCCCCACCTTCCAGCCCTAGGATTCTGTATTCTATATTCAGTGTCTGACATGCAAGTTCCAGAAAGTCATCAAGGCAAAAATGCTGTCGACAAAGCTTTCCCGCCTCTTTAATTGTCCCAAAGGTGCTTCTATTTTTCTTCAAAAGGCAACTGGGCTTTCTTTTTCCTTGAAGACGTTTCGCTTCTCATCCCAGAAGCTTCCTCAAGTTCTGACGGAAGCCTGAAGTCAGAACTTGAGGAAGCTTCTGGGATGAGAAGCGAAACGTCTTCAGGGGAAAAAACAAAGGAAGTCCACTTGCCTTTTTGAAAAAAGCATCTTTGGGAAAACCGTGACCTGGATGATTGAAAATTTCAGCAGATGTTTCCCTTTTTAATGTGTGTGTCTCTTATAAGATACAGCACTTGTGTCTCAACCTGGACAACTTGAAGACGGGTGGACTTCAACTCCCAGAATTCCCCAGCCAGCATGGCTGGCTGGGGAATTCTGGGAGTTGAAGTCCACCCGTCTTCAAGTTGTCGAAAATTGAGAAAAATTGTGGACAAGCAGCAACAATAAAACAGCAGGAAAAATCTGGGTTTTCTTCTCACGTCTCCAGTGCAACCCAAGCATAGCAAACTATCCTTTTTGATTGCAGATAGGATGTTCAAAGCACAAAATTGTGTACATGCGTTGAAAAAAAAAAATGCTCCAGGCACCCGTAGCCACAGTTTTTATTGTTCTATTGTTTCCCTTGTCCTTTTTGGAAGTGTCCCACGGTGATAGACGTGATTTATGAGTGTAAATCACCCGGTTAAAAAAATAAGAGCGTCTTATTAATACGTAGCCATGAAATTTCCCCCACTCTTTGCACAGCTTGGTAAATCCCGCCGTGCCAAATTTGAAGCCAATTCACCCACATTTATTTCAAATGAATATAACCAACTGGGATTTTATTCCTAATTTCCCCCACCCCCCTGTTATTAAGGAAATCCTTTGGAAAACGCCACGATTCGAGGAAAACGCTTTTGCGAACATGAATTCTAAAATTCAGACTAAAACACTGGTAAGTAACACCAGCTGCCTGCAATTACTGCAAGTTCGAATCTCACCAGGCTCAAGGTTGACTCAGCCTTCCATCCTTTCGAGGTAGGTAAAATGAGGACCCAGATTGTGGGGGCAATAAGCTGACTTTGTATAAAAAAGGACACCGCTTAGGGGGGGCCGAAAGCCCTACTAAGCAGGTATATACAAAAGTATGAAGGTTATTGCTTAAAGCGTTGTAAGCCGCCCTGAGTCTCCGGAGAAGGGCGGCATATAAATCAAACTAATAAATAAATAAATAAATGAATAAATGAATAAATAAATAAATACTAAACTTAAGTATTGGATCTTTGCAACCTACAAACCCTAGTTACTCTCCCTCGGTTTACGGAAAACAATAGGGACATCACCTTGATGTTCCCGCAAGCTGCAGCTCCGTAATTGACACAATCAAGTTTATCTTATCTCAAGGAAGTTGTCAGCGTCTTACAGATGTGTAAATAAGGGTCAACTTCCCAGCAGACTTGGAGTTGAGTGTCAGTAACCTGGCCCCCAAAATTATCCACCAAGTACTACAGGTTGTCCTTAACTTACAACCTTGTTCAATTGACTGTTTGACGTTAAGAGGCACTGGAAAAAGGGACTTATGACCGATCCTCACCCTTACGACCGTCTCAGCATCCCCACCGTCACCTGATCTAAATATGGGCACTTGGTAAGCAGCATAATATAATATAATATAATATAATATAATATAATATAATATAATATGATTGATATGATATGATGATATGATATGATATGATATGATATGATATGATATGATATGATATAATATAATATAATATAATATAATATAATATAATAATATAATATAATATAATATAATATAATATAATATAATATAATATAATATAATATAATATAATCAGAGTTCGAGGGGACCTTGGAGGTCATCTAGTCCAACCCCCTGCTTAGGCAGGAAACCCTACACCACCTTTGTATTTACAAAAAAATGGCAGGGTCCCAGGTTCGCCATTTGGGACCTTCCCAAAGAGGCTCCCGACAAGCAAAGTTAATGTGGGGGGTAAACCTGGATTCACTTAACGACAGCAGTGAACGAGAGACTGTGGAGGTTCACTTAACAACTTTGGTTTAAAAAAAAGAGATCATAACATTGGGCATGTCTCACTTAAGAACTGCCTGGATTAGCGAATAGAAAGTCTGGCCCCTGACTGTGGTCGTAAATTGAGGACCAGGAAAGGGGGAGGGAGAAATCCTTAACAACAACCCTGCACGGTAGGCCAAGGGCTGCTGTGTTGCCACCTGTCTCTCTCCAAGCGATGTGAATTGAGTAGAGTTTGAAACTCTTTCTGCCTGTTGGAAACTGCACAGTCAACATTTTAACCACCTGCTTCGCTCCGATTTTGTGGGCATCTCTGAGTTTCTCCCGGCTTCACCAACACAATAGAACTCAGGTCACACAAAACAGGTGTCCCCAAAAACACACATACATACACACTCACCTTCTTGGGTGTGGCTGATGCCCATCGACCAAGCCAGCAGACCGGAGAGGAAGCACCAGCTCACTTGGTCCATCTTCCCAAATTGAAAAGCTCCCTCGAAAATCATCCCAGCTTTCAAAACAGTTTAGTGGCTCATCGGTGGAAGAAAAAACAGGGGGGGGAAATTAAAAAAAAAAATCCGTTGGGAAAAAACCCCGATCTCTTCCCAAGAAACAGCCGCCCGCCTTCACCGAATCATTAAAAAAGCAGCCGGAGAAGAAGAAATGATCACTGCAGTCCAAAAAAACAAGTGACGAAGTCCTCGGTGAAGTCAACAGCACCCAAGAGGCCGGGGGAACGATGGATCTGACGTGGTCCCTTCTCCCCTTGTGCCCAAAACTCTTGCCGAGAAAGTTTGGAAATAAATTCCTCAACTCAAAACACTTGTCTGTCTCAAAAAAGAAGAAGAAAGAGAAAAAGGACAGAGGGAATTTTAGGGACTATCCCAGAGAATTCCGCTCCCCCTTTTCAAAATCCCTGCATTAATTTGGCTTTTTGGCTCAGCAAAATTTGCTTTCTTCTTCTTCTTCTTCCCAACTCTGCTTTTCTGGAGTCTTGAAGAACAGCTGATTTTCTTTCTTTTAGTCTTCTCTCCTGTTCATTCTTGGGTTCCTCCTACTCTGAGCCCTGAGGAGTCTACTCAGAGCCCTTACAACAAAGTTGCTTACTCAGTTAACTTCTTGCTTACATTGTCTTCTCCAAAAGACAGTGAGAGTGAGTGAATGAGAGAGAAGAGAGACTGGGGAACAGAGGCTGCTTCCTTTTCTTGGCTCTCACTTCCCGACACAGACAACTCCTACACACAGCCGCAACCTTGTGCGAGATAGCAGCAGCAAAGACCTGAAAAATTAGCATAGCCGGCTGATTTGGGGGCAAGCGGGAAGGGGGGTGGGTGGCCTTGGAAAAACCAGAAAGTACAGAGAAGGGGGTGCAAATTCCATCCGGCTGCAGAAGGGTTAAGGGGAGGAGGACCAAAGGAAAGAGCAAAGAAAGAATTTTCCTTAAAGTTACACTCACCCAAAGATTCTTCAACACCCCAGCCAGAAAGGCAGGCTTGGAAAAGGTAGAAAAAGAAGAGAGAGAGAGAGAAAAAAAAACAACACAAAACTTTTCCCAACTTTCCGGACCCACCAAACAGAGGCAACCTTGCCCACACCGAGTGAAACAAGGCAGAGGGGGAGAAAAAAAATCAGAATATAATGTTGTTGCTTACGCCCAACTAAGACACGGCGGGCGTCCCTGTCCATCAACTTTTTATGAGGGTCAAAGACCAAATCTAGGTGCTGCTGGCGTAAAACAGCCGTTCTCAATTTTCTAGGTGGTTTGAAATGGCTCTTGAAAAATCTTTCGGGCCTGATTTTTTTTGGGGGGGGGGGGGGAAAAAAAAAATCCCTTGGAATCTACAATGTGGAGGAGAGAGAGAACCGGTGGATGCTTCTTGGTCTGCCATAAGGAATTTGGGAAGGATTTCTGCCGTAATTCAGCGGAAGGAATTAAGGGTACAGTCTGTAAACTACTTTAGCCTGTAGCGCCCGAAAGGAATGTCTCGGCCGCCTGGTTTTTCTTCTAAACAATTAGCTCATTTTACACAATCCCACTCAGACAATTTCTGATCTTCTGAATCTGCCGGTACTTGTCCTCCCTGGAGTGACTCAGACAAGCCATCGTTTTGGAAGGAGGGATGAGAAACTGAGCCGACCAGGAATGACTCCCTTAGCACATACATGTCAATTGGTTCATTTGGCATCGTGTGAGGTTAATGTATCTCAACCTCGGGGTGACTCTTAAAACGGGTGGGCTTTACATTCAGAATAGAAGGGACCTTGGGGGTTTCCTAGTCCAGCCTTCTGCTCAAACAGGAGACCCTATACCCGTGATGGCAAACCTATGGCACGCGTGCCACAAGTGGCACATGTAGCCATATCAGTGGGCACGCGAGTTCAGCTCCAGCGCGAAACAGGCTGTTTCCTGTCTCCGGAGGGCCTCGGAGGGAGGGTGGGGGGTGGGGAAGGCCCTCCCCAGACTCCTAGAAAGGCTCTGGAGCCAAGTGAGAGAGTAAAAAGGACCTACCGGGCCATCATGTGCCAGGAGCGGGGAGGGAGCGGGGAGGGAGCGGGGGGGGGTGCACATGCATGCGCAGGGGGCATAGAATTATGGGTGTAGGCACGGAGGCGCACGACCCCCCCAGCCCCCCCCACTCCTGGCACGCGATGGCGAAAAGGTTAGCCATCACTGCCCTATACCATTTCAGACAAATGGCTGTCCAGTCTCTTCTTAAAAACCTCCTGTGATGGAGCACCCACAACTTCTGGTGGCAAGCTGTTCCACTGGTTAATTTTCCTCACTGTTAGGAAGTTTCTCCTTAATTCCACATTGCTTCTCTCCTTGGTTAGTTTCCATCCATTGTTTCTTGTCCTGTCTTCAGGTGCTTTGGAGAACAGGTTGACCCCTCCCTCTTCTTGGTGGCAGTTCCTCAAATACCGGAATACAGCTATCCTGTCCCTCCCTAGTCCTTCTTTTCTCTAGATTCGTCATACCCAAATCCAGCAACCGTTCTTCGTAGGTTTTAGCCTCCAGGCCTTTAATGTACCTTCAATGAGATACGCATTAGAGGCGAGAACCAGTTTTGGAAGTGGATTACCGGTTGCGGCTTTGTCCCAAAGGAGGCTGGGAATTGTAGTCTCGGGCAATTCACCTGGGCAGCCTTTGCTGTGAAATTGATTTAAAGATAGAATGAAAGGGATGGACGGAAGGGTGCTGAGTGGTCATCTAGTCCAGCCCAGAGGTGGGTTTCCGCAGGTTCTGACCAGTTCTGGAGAACCGGCAGCGGAAATGTTGAGTAGTTCGGAGAACCGGTAGTAAAAATTCTGACTGGCCCTGCCCCCATCTATTCTCTGCCTCCCGAGTCCCAGCTGGAAATGGGGATTTTGCAGTAACCTCCCCCTGGAGTGGGGAGGGAATGGAGATTTTACAGTATCCTTCCCCTGCCACACCCACTAAGCCATGCCACACCCACCAAGCCACACCCACAGAACCACCGGTAGTAAAAAAATTTGAAACCCACCACTGATTCCAACCCATTTGTTTGCCCTTCCTTTGCCCCAAAGCAACCTTTTGGAATAAAATCAGAAAATCTCGGAAAGCTGACAACACCGAAATTGAGAGAACGCCATCTTATTCCTTTGCAAGGGATCAGCGAAAGAATCCTGCAGAATCTTCAAACTTTGAAGAAGCTGGTTTCTCTGCCATTTTAACCCTGTTTGTTCCCCAGTTCTCTTCCTCAATCCTCTCTTTGGGGAGGGTGCAACCAAGCCCCATCCCTACAGCCCCCCACCCCTCCCCCATTTAAAAAAATGAAAGGTGAGATGAAGAGGCCTTAAAATGCCCCATTGTCTGTGTGTGTGTGTTTTTTTTTTTTTTGCCAAAGCTCAATGTGTTTGCCTAGTTAACCATTTAACTCACCGCAAAGAGAAACTCGGCAGCGGATCAGAAAACTGTCCAATTCCCAGCACATCACTGAGAGTAATTTTAATTTTGCTTTACAGGAGAGCTGGATAAAAAATTTTTTTCTGAAGGATCACTTTAAAAAAACCCAATCTAATCCCAACCCCCACAACTTCTGGAGGCAAATAATCCCGCTGATTAATAATTATTCTGTCAGGAAATTCCTCCTCAGTTCTATGTTGCTTCTCTCCTTGATTAGTTTCCATCCGTTGCTTCTTGTCCTGCCTTCAGGTGCTCTGGAAAACAGGTTGAACCCCCCCTCCCTCTTCTTTGTGGCAGCCCCTCAAATATTCACTGAGTACCCCTTTCACCAAGGTTGTCCCAAAAGATGCTTCTTTTAAAGAGGCAACTGGACTTTCTGGTTTTTTTTTTCTTCTTTGAAGACGTTTTGCTTCTCACCCAAAGAAGCTTCTTCAGCTCTGACTGGATGGCGGAGAATGGAAGGACTGCAAGGAATGCGAAGACTTACATTCTCCACCATTTGGTCAGAAGCTGAAGAAGCTTCTTTGGGTGAGAAGCGAAATGTCTTCAAGGAAAAGCAAAAAAAAATAAAAATAAAAATCCAGCTGCCTCTTGAAAAAGCACCTCTGGACAACCAGGATCTGGATGAGTGAGAATCTCCATAGAGCTTCATCACCAGCAGCAAAGCAGTCAAACCTTTCACCTCTTTTAGTGGATATATATATATATATATATATATATATATTTATTTTGCAAAAGTAAGAGATGTGCATGCCCGAATTTGCTGACTCTTTTAGCCAGCACAACCAGGCAAAATTGCGTCCCCAGGAGGGTGTCTCCAGCTAAGCCACTGAAATATGAGTGCCTTGGACCGAGTGGAGCAGAATCTTGGAGCCCAAACGGGGCAGGCAGTCATCAGACAGGTGAAGATCGAGCTTGGCCAGGAGATAAAAAAAATGACCTGATAGAGCAGGAGGGATTGAATTATCTCCTAAAGATAAGTTCATGGTTAAAAGGAGTTGCTCCCTTTGGAAACAGGGCCTGGAATTGGACAAACAGCAAACAGACATAGCCAGTGTAAGGTTGCTGAATGGCCATAACCAAATTTTTCTGGCCCAGCTCTGGAATTCAAATTGTTTTGGGATTTATTTGTTCCCTGCCATGATGATTTTTTTAAATAAATAACTCAAGGCGGCGAAGATATCCGAACACACCTTCCTATTTTCCTCACATCAACAATATTGTTAGGTGGGTTGGTCTGAGAGAGAGAGTGACTGGCCCAAAGTCACCCAGTTGGCTTTCTTGGCTAAGGCAGAACTAGAACTCACCATCTCCTGGTGATCAGCTCAAAGTCACCCAGTTGGATTTCATGGCTAAAGCGGGACTAGAACTCACCATCTCCTGGTGATCGGCTCAAAGTCACCCAGTTGGATTTCATGGCTAAGGCGGGACTAGAACTCACCATCTCCTGGTGATCGGCTCAAAGTCACCCAGTTGGATTTCATGGCTAAGGCGGGACTAGAACTCACCATCTCCTGGTGATCGGCTCAAAGTCACCCAGTTGGATTTCATGGCTAAGGTGGGACTAGAACTCACCATCTCCTGGTGATTGGCTCAAAGTCACCCAGTTGGATTTCATGGCTAAGGCGGGACTAGAACTCACCATCTCCTGGTGATTGGCTCAAAGTCACCCAGTTGGATTTCATGGCTAAGGCGGGACTAGAACTCACCATCTCCTGGTGATTGGCTCAAAGTCACCCAGTTGGATTTAATGGCTAAGGCGGGACTAGAACTCACAGTCACCCCATTGGCTTTCATGGCTAAGGTGGAACTAGAACTCATTGTCTCCTGGTGATCGGCTCAAAGTCACCCAGCCGTCTTTCATGGCTAAGGCGGGATTAGAAACTCACCGTCTCCTGGTGATTGGTCCAAAGTCATCCTCCTGGATTTCATGCCTAAGGCAGGACTAGAACTCACCGTCTCCTGGGTTTCTAGCCTGATGCCTTAACCCCTAGACCAAACTGGCTCTCATATTAAATATGCTATGGAGACACTCTCAATCGGGACCAGACTTTCCATTGCTAAACAAACCGGTCGTTAAGTGAGTCGCACTTGATTTTAGGACCTGTCACATTTTGCTATGGCGAAGCGAATCACGGAGGTCGTTAAAGGAATCACGTGGTCATTAAAACGAATTCAGCTTCCCCTTTTGACTTTGCTGGTCGGGAGCCAGCTGCCAATGGAGATTAACGTGACCACGAGACCCTGCAACGGTCGTGCCTGCGTGCTGCTTGCCGAGTGCCCAATTTTGATTTCCCCATGGTGGTGGGAAACGCTGCGTCGGCCGTAAGCGCGAGGACCGTCATCATCAGTCACCTTGCCTCGGCGCCGCTGCAACTTCAAACGGTCGCTGAGCATTCAAATGGTCATAAGTCGAGGACTCTGTGTGCATGCTGGATGTTCCATCTGTCGACTGAAGCCTCTCAGAAAATTCTCCCTCTTCCTTTCTTTATTTTGAACTCAGAAAGCACCAGCTTGCTTTCTGGCTGACCTCAGGATGGGAAACTGGGATTCTTGGCCTCTGCTGCGTCTCCTGCAGACGGCACCAGCGTCTTCTCCAGGACTTGATAACGTGACCCTGAAAAGGACTTT